TTTTCAAAATTAAATAAGATTTAATTTTACTATTCATTGTTAATGTAGGAGATTCCCTATTGATAGGTTTTAGGAAGTTATTTATTTTTTATCCTGATTCTATGCTAGATATATACTGTATTATTAGATTGTCACTCTTTTCTGAGCTAGAATCTGCCCAATTCAACAAACATGTATTAAGTACAATTACTTACAATATGCCTGGGAAAATGCTAGAGGTGAGGTGATTAAAGAGAAAAATTTCCCTAACTTTTATAACGTAAATCTCCTAGGATTATAGTGTTTGCCCTCCAAGGCAATGCATAGCTATTAGTGAGTAGAAAGGAAGTGAGGATAATGAAAGAGAGGAAAGAGATCAAAGACATTATCATAATTCTGGAGCTCTGTAATTTTGCAAGCAAAAATACATCAACTAACCTAGAAACTTCTTTATCTTGTATCTTGTTACTCATATCATTTCTCTGTAAGACAGAATAGGAACGTCTATCTTGTCCTTGGAGCCCAACCAGGAACCATAATAACCTTGAATAATGCAAGGTAACCCTGAGTCTCTAAGAAACATGCAAGGAAAAGAATTTGCAGTAGTTCAATCAGAGTTTAAAGAAGGCTTTAATTTCAAATTTGGAGAAAACAGGTTAGATATTAGAGATGTTATGGAAATTTAAATTGAATACATTTATTGCCTGTGTAATTCATATTTTTTCAAGAGAATAACTTACTCAAAAATATGTAAATAACAGTCATTAAGTTAACTATATACATTGAGGTAACTGGAATAAAAAACATGGTATTTAGGTCCAGAATGGAAAACCGTGTTTTCAGTTGGCTTGTTCTCAGAAAGCTGTAAGTCCTTCCAGTAACAGAAAATTCAATTTGTGCTAGGTGATGATAAGGTAAATAAGATTGTATCATGAACATTCTCCAGTGAATAATGGCATAATTTTCCTTGTAAATATTTTTGAAAGCTTTCTGTTTTAAAAATATATGCATGAGAGTCCTCTGCTTTTGAAGGTGACATTAGGGACACTTTTTTCTTCTAAGGTGTGGAGATGGTTGGACAGGCTAATATAGGACAGCACATCCCAGTGTTCCAACCAGCTTATTTCCTGCAGCAGTCACTTTCTGTAGGCACCACAGCTCTTTGAAGCCCTATTTTCTGACCTCACAGCCCATATTTCTCTATGACTTAAAATAGGAAGTACCTTATGAAATGACTGTACACAGGTTGACCTCCTTCCCTCAAGCCACTGTTACCTCCCAGAATCCTTCCATTGAGCCAATAAGGTCAAGCATAGAAATGGATCTAAAGTATTTGAAACCTCCTTGATTCCATTGTTCAGTGGTTTCAATTTTTTTTTTTAAACAGCAAAACTCTTTCTATGTAAAAAACATAGTAGGAAGTCGAATTTATAAAAGTGTTAAAAATGGAGCAGTTCTGTTTGAAGACGAGGTGGAATTTCTATCTTTCCTCTTAGAACCTTTCCCTCTGGCAATTTCTCAGACATTTTCTCAGCTTCTCCTTGTATCCACCACGCACTGTTTGAAGGCCATTGGAAAACTTTGGAAGGAATGGAACAGGCAGCAGCCAATGGAAGGCAAAATAGCTACAGGCAGACCTGTTTTCTTTTTTTGTGTGTGTGGGGAAGATCAGCCCTGAGGTAACATCTGCTGCCAATCTTCCTCTTTTTGCTGAGGAAGATTGGCCCTTGGCTAACACCTGTGCCCATCTTCCTCTACTTTATATGGGACGCCGCCACCACATGGCTTGACAAACAGTGTGTCAGGTGTGCGCCCAGGATCCCAACCCGCGAACCCCAGGCTGCTGAAGCGGAGTGGGCGCACTTAACGGCTGCCCCACCAGGCCAGCCCCTGTTTTCTTTACTAATACTTAAAAAATTTTTTTTGCATTTATGCAGGCTGACATTTGCCTCAACATGGAAGGAATTTGAATTGGCAATTCCCAACTAAAGTTTCCATTCTTTATTTTCTTTTTTACCACACATTAACTTCTCCATTTTTTTCACCTGTAATCTTGTTCTATCCTAGCTTAAACCACTAAAATCTGCAGGTTGTTTGTTAGTACAGCATTATTGTGGCAATAGCCTACTGAGGCAGCAACCACTCCCCCACCACCATTTTTAAATTATTATGAAGACAATTTTTCTTGATTTCATCTACATAAAATATACTGATTGTGAGTTAAGGCATGTGATATACACCCATCTAAATCATTCTCTTGAGTATTAAACAAAAATATCTAACTGCCTATTAATTATAACAGGTATCTTGTACTCAAACTTAACCAGTTCAAAATTGAACCAATGATTTCTCTTCCCACGCCTCTTACAAATCAGCTTCTTTACAACTTCCTCTCTCAATTGATATCATTTGTCCTGTTGCCCAAACCAGAACCATGGGAGACATCACTAACTTGTTTCTCTCTCCATTATCACTCCATCTAATTATTCACTAAGAGCTTTGATTCTCATTCCTAAATATCTCTTTAACATTCCTCCTTTGTCCTCTATTTTATTGTAACTTCTTGTTAAATATCTTCTACCATCTTTGCCTCCTGGCCTACTCTGTGTGACCCTCCAATCATTTCCCTCTATTGCTACTATAATCTTCTGAACACCTAAGACTGATCATGTCATTGTCTCTGCTGATATCTTCAGTGTACCCGCTCAAGCCCTGCTAAGCATGCTCAGCATGTCTAAGACACCTTAGCACAGCAAGCTAGTGGTACGTAGGTAACCAAGCCTGCCTTTATGATTTTGTCTTCTACCATTCCTTCCTTCTTGCATTATGTATTTGATCCAACCATCAAGAACTGCTTACTGTACCTGAATTTTCTGTGTTTCTGTATGTGCTTCTAATGTCTTTAAGCTTTTACCCATGGCCTACCTACAACATGCTTCTTAATGATGTGCATTTTAGTCTGTTTAAGTATTATTTATTATTCCAAACTCAATTTTCCAATTTAATCTTATCAAAACTCCTTCTCTAGGAAGATTTCTCTGAGCAAACCCTCCCACATTCCCCCCACTAGCTTTCATATAGAGTCAGAATTGGAACCTTTCTTTGTGTTTCTCTATCTCACTTATAATCTTATTATTACCTCCCTTATTCTAATTATTGTAGTATATTACACTTGTATTTCTCTTTGATTTAACACCATAAAATCATAAACACTTTTGATTTAATATCATTAACTATCGTACCCAGAGTTCCCTTTGATTCCACTGGTACCTACAACAGTGATTGGCACATAGTAGGTGCCATGAATGACTATAGAAAAGGAAGAAAGACATTAGTAATATAAAAAAGAATTTGTCAGATTCTTCCCTTAATTTATTTAAATGATAGTTTTTCACCTACCTTTTACCTTGGGGTTCTCCTTACAATTAAATTGCCAGTATATTGGAAAAGAAAATTTCACTTCTTTTGACAGATTTTGCCATTCTGCTTAAATGTAAAATGTCTAATATTTAGTAAATTTTGCTTCTGACAAACATACAATTGATGTAATGATATTGAAATTGCAAGGACAGAAAGGGAAATGTTAGTTGTGGAGTGTCTGTTATATATCAGATGGTTTTGCAGGGGAGGCAAATTTTTACCTTTACCACTTTAGAGTTTTTTTTGACTGGGCCTGAGAATTGAATTGACATAAGACCAGGAGATCTTGAGATCAACAGGAGAAAATCTTACAAATTTATTTAATACAAGTTTTACGTGACATGGGAGCCTTTATAAGAATTGAAGACCCAAAGAAATGGTGAAAGCTACTTGCTTTTCCATTAGGTTGAACAAGAGAGGCAATTGTGGAAAAGTAACTAAACTTTGTGAGGAAGCTAAAGGAAGGTAAGAATTATTTTAACAAATTCTGTTTACATAGAATTCTCTCTGTCTCAACCTCTTGTCGTTGATGATAAGATATTTCTCCCCTTCTGGACTAAAGTGGATATCTTTCACATGAGAATTTCATCTCCTGCTTTTACGAAAAAGAAGGAAAATCAGAATGTTTTCCTTATATTTGCTGTTTTTCAAGTGCCTTTAAGTCAAAATTGTCAATATGCCAGAATGGCATATTTTGGGGTTGCATGTTCTGAACTTCAGTTTGCATGTGCTAAGTATGTGTGATCCCTAAATAATGTAAGGTAGTGTGTCAAAGACCAGATTTAATATAATTACTCAATATAATAGGAGATTGGAATGACAAAGTATTATCTAGTAAAATTTAAAGAGAATTCTAAAAAGCATAGGAATACCACACACAATGAGCAGTCACCACTCCTAAGGCTAAGATGGAGCCCCCAATGAAGAACCTTGCCACCAGGGGGATGATCAGAGCTTTTTGGTGAGAGTTCTCGCTGAATAGCACAGAAATCGCTCTGGTGCCATGGTGGTGGAACACGCTGGAAATTTATCTTTTGAGGTGCTGGGAAAATCTGTTCATGGAGTGGTGTCTTGCTGGAGACACTGCTCTATGAAACTGCCTGGAAGATGCCATGGGAAGCTGCTGGATGCTGCTGGCCGCCATGCACTGCAGGAGCCCAGTGCTAGCAAAGGTGTATGCACCGTAGGAAATGGCAATGCAGAAGCTACACTTGCTGCAGGAACCAGCCCAGAGGCACCACAGAACCGGTAAGCAAACCCTTTCCTCCTGCAATATCGCTCTAGCACGCTTTACTGGTAGATGGCAAAGGAAAATTATTTAAAGGATCCAGTTCCATTTTTCCAGAGCAGACAATTAACACTGAATTTGGAGCTGAGAGGCAATAAATTGATAACTAGCAAAGTAGGTATTACCATCTACTTTTTAAAGCTGCGGGCAATGAGTCTTAGAAAGTGATAAATAAATGGCAAACAATAGGATATATTGGAGCATATGAGGAAGCCATTTGGTATAAAACTAATTCGTCCTGACCTTGTTTTTCCAAAAGGGGCTACGGCCTTTGAACTTGCATTGTACATCGGCTTTACCATGTCCCAAAGACAAGAACAAATGCCCTTAAGATAAGGACACAACTTCCCCTACATTGTCATTTCCTTAAGGATATGCAGTTCTCCCTAGGCTAGAATTTGATTGCTACGCTCATCCTGTGACCACCCAACTCAAGACAGCAGATCTGCTACCTGCTGGGCCCATCGAGACAGCAGAACTGAAACCTGCTGTGTCCATCAATTGCTGGCTGGCAGGGCAATATTATGACTATTGTAAAAGGGACATTGCAGTCATAAGTGATACTTGCTCTTTGATGGTATATAACCATTCTGTACACCCTACTTCTTTGAAGCCCTTCCTTCCTTGGGTAAGGACAGCCCCAGGCTATATGGTCCTCAAATTTGGCTCATAATAAACTTGCCCCAATTTTGATTTATAGATTGATTATGGATTATTCGCATCAACAAAAGGCTTGGAAATGCTCCAAGCTCATGCATCTTTGGAACTAAGGAAAGATTATGGTGGTGAGGGAGGGATATAGGTTGGATAAATGACATGGAGGAAACTTGTTTTGAGATGTCTGGAATGATTCCCCAACTGGGAAACGCAATGCTATCAATATAAAAGATTAATTTGTTTCTCAACAAAGATAGCCTTTATATGTAGATATCACATTACTTTAAGGTAAAAAAACCTCCAACTATCTCTATTTCCTTTGATTAATAAGTATTGTCAGAAATGTGTAACATTAACTATTCTAAATTAAATTCATTTTCTCATTTATTCAACAAAAATTACTGAGTGGTGATTATGTGACATATATAGTATTATTCCAGTGTCTGTGATTTTATTTTTGACATTATTTGATGAGTAGAATTAAAAATATAAATATTGTGTTTTCAACTTGATTTTCAATTCTAAAACTCAATTTAATTTTCAATATTAGATATCATCATTTTGTTTTCTGAGTGACAAAAGCACAAAACAAAACAAGCAAAAAAAAAATCAAAATCCTCCCATTTATCAGGATACCATCTGGTTTTTAGAAAGTGAAGGTTGAACTCATTTTGATATTGCATGATGGATGATTGGAATTTTTCTGTTTTGTTTCTCACAAAGTTTTACTTTTAAGTTTCTGATAGTTTCTGCTTTGAGAATGTCAATATGTTCAGATAAATGAAGTAGGTCTGTATCAGAAAGACTAAAAATGTTATGAAATACAATAAATCCCAGAGTACAGCAATATTCTAAATTGGTTTAAAAGTAAATGATACCTATGTCCAGTTTAAATTCTTTTACCTTAATGAGTAAGGTATTGAAGAGTAAAATAATTTTTTTCCACAGGGAATCTATATATGCTCCATAGATTAGAATTCACTCAAACTTCTTTGAAATACTTTTTTTTTCCACAAGCAACAAAAATATTTCCTGTCATTTATAATTTTTAAAAACTTTCTTGGAGAGTGCATTATTTTCCCAACAGAAAATAACTGTTCGTTGTGCCTGCGTATTTTAAAATAGGAAGACTAGTAACAAACATTCCATTAAGTCAATCTTGTCACTTGTCAACTGTGAATTAAGGTCAGTATAGTTCATCTAATTGAGCTAGAATTATCATTTGAAGCTGTCCTTTTTCAAAAGCAATGGAAGTTTTCTGTAGTTTTCCCTATTCCTGGAACTTGTCAGTCTCTGGTGATATCATTTTAGCCAGTAAAACATGTGATAGCTGCAAGAATCTACACAGTCACCTGAGCCTGCAGCATTTGGTGCAATGTGTCATTTATACTACAGTACTTAAAATCCATATAAAAAGCATTGGGAACTGTAGCTACTCTGAAAGTAGCCTTTTCTTGAAGTTAAATGACTTTGAAGTGTCAACATTTATAGTAGAAGGAAGCATCTAACATTAAGAATCTGGTGAATTGTTCTGTCATTGATAGGATTGCAAGAATAGAATCTAATCTGCAAAACTTCACTAGAATCCCAAAATGTATCTTAAAAATTGGAATTTTAGTAACTATGCATCAACCTTTAAGAAAAGTGCTTTCCTAAGAAGTCATATATTTCATCTATATTGTGGATCTACAATATATATCAGATGTGCCTTTGAATTTCTCTTACATTTTAAAAGCTTTCTCTCTGTCCTTCCTCCCTATTTTCACTGAGTTTCCAGAGATTCAGTAAAATATTAAAAATCTTCATTGTAATGGTGTACAAATAGAATGTTTTGATTATTCAAATATCCTTGTTCTAGGTGCATTTATTTATCAAAAACAATTCCACTTCTAATCTTAAGGTTTAAGTTATTTCTGTTTATTCTCCTACTTTATGAAATATTAAACATATAATTAAAGTATTTGTAATACTTAATGCATAGTCACACTGTCCTGTATAGTACCATCTTTCTCACATCAATTTCCATACAAGTTCTATAAGCATATGTCTTTTCTAAATCGTGAAAGCCGTTCATGTAGATGCTTCTATTAATTATGTGTGTTCCCTAGCATTTAGCACAGTCTGCCCTAAAAATAAATTATCTTACAGCAATTATCTTTCAATCACTATCCACTGCCTAAATTATCCAGAATGCAGCCCAGAACCCAGTGTAATTAAAGAAAATCTGTCTCTGTAGCCCCTATGCTAACTGAAAGCCCATGCAATTAAACTCTTATTCTTCATTTAGTAGAAAATCTCTTTATTAATTGTGAACAATTATTTTAGTTTTATTTTATTTTTTCAATCCATAGCAGACTAAAGTAAGCGAAATAACTGTAGGAGGAGACTTCGGAACTATGGTTTAGAATCACAGCATGTTAAAGCCAGGAGGTGTCTTAAAGATTATCACACCAAAGACAGTCACTTTGATAAGGAAATGTCAGCCTATCTTAGGGTGTGTTCTCAGGGAACAGGCTTTCAAATGGAGGTTTGCATTTAGGAGGTTTGTTGAGGAGTGATCCAGGGAAGAAACCTCTGAGTGAATAAAGGAAGCGGGATTGAGCAGAGAGAAAAATTAGGTTGAGACGCAATTGTTGACAGAGGTCTCAGCCAGCCCCAAGGGGAGCTCTGGACCAGGGAAGTTTCTGTAGAGTTGTTCCGAATTAAGGCAAGAGGACAACACTTTGTAGCCCTGATCAGCCAGTCACTGGATCCAGAAAAGGAGCATAATCTTGGGTGAGGAATCTCCCTTCTGCTGAGTTTCATTCCCAGAGTGTGTCTCAGCTGTGAGCCATCAGCAGTCAACTCTCCTGGCATCTGGAAGATTGAATGCCCTTCTAAAGGGAAGGATTTGGGTGGAGCATCCCAACAGTCATTAATGTTATAGGATAGCCCAGTATGCTCAATTCCACCAGACTTATCCTAACGTAGATGTCAACACGCGGATGGCATGAATGACATCTAGGAGGAAGCTCTCTGCCCCTGCGTTGTTTTAGTTCCTGCCTAACCCTTAAAGAACGGAAACAATGATAGAGAGGGCCCTGTTTTTCAGAAGTGCCACTGCCAAAGAACAATGAAAGGGGGGAGGGGTTACCCCCAAATATTTTCCATGCCCAAAGCAACATGATGGTTTGGCAGTTGGAAATATATTCACCAAAATGCCACAAATTCCCCAGTGTTGAGATGTTTTTTCAGCTGCACTGATGGCTGATTGCTCTTTTGAGGAGACATTAATCACTCTGGGTGGTCTATCAGAGGGAATTCCAATTTTAGCAGGTTTCTTTTTCCAAAGCTATCCAAGAGCAATTTTTTTTTTTTTAATGAAAATGCTTAAGCTGGAAAACAACTCATAGGGAGAGAACAAGGAATCCCAAATAAATCATTTGGGGCCTGGCACATGGAGTGTTGGAGGTTTTTTTAAAAAATGGAGGTAGGCATAAGATGCAAGTTGATGCTAATTTCAATTTGTTTTATTTTAGTCTACTATCGAAAGGGAATTTTTTTGTGATTCAGTCTTTCTAATTAAAAAGTACCATGAACACTGTAGCATTTAACAAAACTTATTATTTTGATTGTAGACTATGATAGAATTTTATACAAATAAGAATCTGCCTGGGAATAGGATTCTCCCCCCCCTTTTTTTTTTTTCATTTTTGGTTCATTGGCATCCAAGGTTAGCATAAAGAATATAAATAGTCTTGGTTCACAGAATTTTTTTTTCTTGTGTATTTTTTTTTGTTTGTGCTTCCCCACCCCCCTAGTTTTAATGAGCTATAATTGACATAAAACATTGTGTAAGTTTAATGATTACACCATGATGATTTGATACACATATGTATTGTGAAATGATTACCGCAATAGAGTTAGTGAACACCACCATCACCTCATATAATTACCATATTTTTGGCTTTTTTTTTGTGATGATGTTTCAGGTCTACACTCTTAGCATTTTTTTATTCAAATATAACTGACATATAACATTGTATTGGTTTCAGGTGTACAACATAATGATTTGATGTTTGTATAAATGCAAAATGATCACCACGATAAGTCTAGTTAACATCCCTCACCATACATAGTTACAAAAATTTTTTTTCTCGTGATGAGGACTTTTATATCTACTCTCTTAGCAATTTTCAAATATGCAATACAGCATTATTAACTATAGTCACCATGCTGTACATTACATCTCCATGACGTATTTATTTTATAACTGGTCGTTTGTACCTTTTGATCCCCTTCATCCATTTCACCCTGTTCCCTACAGCCTCTTCTGGCAATCACCAATCTCTTCTCTGTATCTATGAGCTTATTTTTTGTTTGTTTGTTTTTTAAATTCCACAATAAGTGAGATCATATGGTATTTGTCTTACTTTGTCTGATATTTCACCTAGAGTAATGCCCTCAAGGTCCATCGGTGTTGTTGTAAATGGCAAGAATTCGTTCTTTTTTTTAATGACTGAATACTATCCCATCCCATTATACATATATATATACACACACACACACACACACACACACACACGCACACACCACAATTTCTTTATCCATTCTTCCATGGATGGACCCTTATGTTGTTTCCATATCTTGGCTATTGTGAATAATGCTGCAGTGAACATGGGAGTGCAGATATCTCTTTGATATCCTATTTTCATTTCCTTTGGATATATACCCAGATTTCTGGGTCATATGGTAGTTCTGTTTTTAATTTTTTTTTTTTTTTTTTGTGAGGAAGGTCA